TGTTGGATTTGGGCAACTGAGTTCAAATTGAATATTTCCATTCAGGTAACCCGTAGACTGAAGTAGTTATGTCTAAACAGAGAGTTGGATGAAAGCCCCCCTGGGATTGAGATGAGAGTTTGATAGAGGTATCTCAGAGAAACCCATCTTAACATATCCACTTCTACATCACCTATAGGTGTTCTAATTCCCTATCCTGGCCATGAGGCAGGGATGGGCTTGGTCTCTCGTGCCCTGAAGGCCTGTGCTTTCTCTCCTCCTTATCAGGAAATGAGTGGGGTGCTGAAAGGCATGCTCTCAGAGTGGTACTCTGCCGGGTTCCTGAGCCTAGAACGCGTCACCTGGCACTCATCCTGTGAAGTGCTTCAGAAAATCAGTGAGTAAGTAGCAAGGTGATTATTTTCTTTATATATATTGATATTGGCTGAAAGCCCTTCTCCATTCATACAGTTTATTTCAAGCTATTAAAATCCAAACACAGTATCCACAAATGTTGTAACTGTCATCACATGTGACACCCGGGGGAGGGGGGATAGAGCTTACTCAGTTTGAGGTGACCGATGAGTGGGGTCTTTCCTGGATTTGTAGCCTCATCTTTAAAGCAACAAGCTCACCTTACAGCTTCCCAAGGTAGGCTCGCTGGACCAAGTATTTGTGTTTGGCTCAGCTAGTTATTAAAACTCCTCCCTTGGACAAAGTCCCCAAATGAACTGTGCATAATTACAACACATCCAGGACACAGTATGGGTGTGACACAGGCACGGTGTCCTCACAACCTGGAGACTCCTACCTGAGGGTCTCAAGCTCCACGCTGTCCCGTGGAAGCGAAGGCCTAAAAACTGTCCCACTGTTTGAAGTGTGGCACATTCAAAGAGCTGACTGTGCCTGTTCACCTGATGAACACAAAATAGCATTTGGACGCGGTTACTAGACGAAAGGAACTGAGAGACGGACGCAGCGTGACGGCCGCTTCCAAACTGCAGGTACTCCCTGCAAAGAAGAGACAGGACGTTCAGCAGAGAAGCATTTGATTAGATGTTGTCTTAGTATCTGCTGCGTGAATGCTTCTCAGAGACTCACAGACTCCTCTTAGCACTGGTATTACAAATTAGAGCACAGTTTTGTATGACGTAAAATGGTCATTAATTGTAGTCGCTCTCAGCCAATGCTGTTTCTCATTAAAATGATTTTCTTTGAATTTTCCAAAAGAGTTGATTAAAGTTGTACTTAAATAATTTATTTCACTTAAGTGAATAATCTGACTAGGAACCAGCCGCCGTCGTTTCCCTTGTACATTCCGCATCTCCTGTCTCTCCCGCAGGTCTGAGGCCGTGCACCCCGTCCGCAGCTGGATGGACATGAAGCGCCGCGTGGGGCCCTACCGGAGGTGCTACTTCTTTTCCCACTGTTCAGTCCCCGGGGAGCCCCTGGTGGTTCTGCACGTGGCCCTGACCAGCGACATCACCAACAACATCCAGGTACCTGCTGATGCTCAGTTCTGGGCAAGACAGGCTTCCCACCAAGCCCCTCGTGTTGATTTTCTTCTAAGTTGGTTTTATCTTCTGTTTTTGAAAATACATTGCTTTAGAGTTTTTTGGACTTTTCGATTGATTAGGTAACATCTCCAGTCTTGTAGTTATAGCATGTAGAAGTGTAGCGTATAGACAGTTAGGGAATAAGGAAAGCATTTATCGGGTATGCCGACCTTGAGTCAAGATAGGATTGAAGTCTACTGGGGCAGAAAATAGCTGTGAGGGAAGCAGGGACAGAGGATGCACAGGGCAGCCCTTCCACATCTGTTAAGCACCTTTGAGGAGTTATAAAAGACGTGATTGAAAGATATATTCCGTCCTCTATGCCTGATATTCCATCCCCTCCACCCAAGATGCTGCCCAAGGTGGAGGTTGTGGGAATCGTGTTGGATCGTCCCTGTGGTGGCCAGCTGACCTTCCCCCGGGCAATCTGGCAGGGGTGTCCGAAGCACTCCTGCCA